GTGTGGAGCCCCCCACACCCTCCCCCCCAGGGCGCACACCCCCTGCCGCAAGTGGCAGCAGCAGCAATAGATGGGGGCTCTTGGGGTGCTTATGACCCATGTGGGCAGTGCTGTCTGGTGGCACATGGCTCCAGCCAGAGCTGCACATGGTGAAAAGAAGCGCTGCCTGCCTGGCCCACCTCTATCATGAGGGACTCCCCATGGTGCACACGCAGCTCCTGGCACTCGTGTGCCACCAGGGAAGCCCCGTATGTTGGAACCGGCTTCCTTCCCTACCATGTGCAGCTGCCGGGACTCCACCAGAGGAGCCCTATCCCTTGCTTCTGTGGTGGCAGGGAGTGGGGAAGGCAGCCAGCTCCATTGTGTGGGGCTTCCTCCGATGGCACGCGAGTGCTGGGAGCTGCATGTGTACTGCAGAGTCCTTTGCGATAGAGGCAGGTAGCAGGCTGAGCTCCTTGTTGTAATGTGTAGCTCTGGCTGGAGCCATGTGCCGCCGGGCAGCAGCACCTGCACAGGCCAGGACTGCTCCAAAGGGCCTCGTTTTCTGCTGCTGCTGCCAGCAGCACAAGCTGTGCCCCATGGGGGGGGAGTGTGTGGGGCGTCCCCACACTCCCCTACCCTCCCTCACACCCCACATACCTACACCCTGCTCCCACAACCCCCCCATATACACACACCTTGCAACATACCCTACACCCCCTCCCACACAGTCACACCCTCTCACAAACCACATGCACACCCACCCCCCCACCATACACACACACCCACCCACACACAAAATACAAGAGTAAGACTTTATTTTTGACCTATTATGCACTATCCTATTTTGATCTATATACACTACACAAACACAAATCAAGACAAAATATTTTTTGTAATAAAATTAAAATATGTTATAGTAGATGTTTGACTTTTAGTATATGATATTTTTTTTCTGATTCAGATAACAACCCCCTCCCAAAGGAGTACTTCTGGGGCAAGGGGAGGGACTTCTGGTGGCAAAGCTCAGGGGTTAGAGGCAAGACTTCTGACCCCAAGATGGTAACCAGGGGGTGGGGCACCTGTCAAGGGGCAGGGCTACCCATGCAGTCAGAGCCGACCTGAGCAGGGTGCGGGGCCCAGGGCAAATCAGCCCATGTGGAGCCGTGCCCCCGCTTCGAACCCATGCGCCCCAGCCCCGAAGAAGCTGCTGCTGCCATCAGCGGTGGTGGTGGTGGGGAGCAAGTGGCTGGATGTGAAGCAGCTGCTCCGCCCAGCTCTGTGTGGAGCGAGCAGCTGGACGCAGAACCGCCGCTCTGCCCAGCTCCGCAGAACCCCCTAAAGCGTATGGACCAGGGCAGTCACCCCGATTTGCACCCCCCAGGGACGGCCCTGCTTGCAGCCCTTGACAACTCACCAAAACTCATTAAGCGGTCCTCCAGCGGAAATAATTGCCTACCTCTCCTCAGACTCCGTTAACCAGGTCCTCTGGCTATCGTAACATCAGCTCCTGCAGCCTGCTGGCCCCTGGCCCTAGCAGGGCTGCTTCAACCTACACCCATTAGACTTCCATCCCCTCAGCCCACTGGTCCCCTGGCCCTTGCAAGAGCTATTATGGCTTTAGGGGGGTCCCCAAGCCATACTCAGCCTATTCTGATGTGCTGCAATCTGCCCAGCTGGCCTTCACCTACTGTTTGCTACCTTCCTGGAAGCGGCATCTTACCCTAGATACCTACCTGAAGCTCTGTAGCTCCTCTTTTCTCTTAGGCTACTTACTTCTCTGCAGTTGATCCTTGGTTATCCACCTGCACCTAGGGTTGCCAACTCTATTTTAATCTATTCCAGAAGGTTTATGGAACGCCAATGTGCCCGTGACACACAACGTAAATGTGCCCACGTGCTTGCGTATATCAGTTATGGATTACAGTGCGTATACTTTACGTTAGGAAGACAAACGTGTTTTACAATACATTTTAAACCCCTCTGGACTACATATATACAACACTCTCAGCAAAAGTAGTTGCTTTATCAAAAGGCCTCATTTTTCTGAAGCACTACTACCACTGCCTGACTCACCATCCTGAAGTTCATGGTTT